TTCAGCTGACACTTTTTTGGAAAGGCAAATTCATGCACTGTGAGGATGAAGAAGATAGCTGTACTGAAACATTCTCCTTACTTTATCTATCAGTATAGTAAAGGCATCTTAGCAACATTTGCAGGTAGGCTAAAACCAATATGTTTATTGGAATTATTTTTATTAAAGTATTTTTTAAAAAATAAGCAATTTTTCCCCTTTATTTATAACCTCCAAGTGCCCCCAAATTCCGTAACTTTATTCATTAGTCATGCTTACCATCCCTTAGCATTTTTCAAAGGGAAATAAATTAGCTTTGTGTGAACAATACTTTTTTTTTTTTTTTTTTTTTTTTCCAGTTTTAATGTAGCTAGTTAGTAATTTGTTTAAAAATCACAGCCATTTAACAATTCCTATATGTTTATTATTCCTTTACCTGGTACATGCCCTAGACTATGTTATAACATGCGGCATTTTATTTCAAAATTGCTTGTTTAAATTGTTTCGCTCACTTTATTGCAAAAACTATGTACTATATGAGTTGAATAAAATCATCATAAAAACTTTCACCTGATATACTTTTTAAATCCAACTGGTAAATTGCAGGAGGAATCACAGAAAATTTTTAATTCATTGCAGATTAAGAGAGAAAAACACAGGTCTTCAGATGCATGAAAAATGGAAAATCATCATTAGTGGACATTAAAACACAACTTCCACATATACGCAAGGATATACTGAAAGATTAATTTGAATATGATAGTGGTGACAGAAATGCAGACAACACAAATGAAGCAAAAGTAGAGAACAGATGAAAATGCAGATTGACTTTCACAGATAACAGACCTAACGAACTTCTGTGTCTCAAGGACGAACACTGCAATTTAAACATGCCACATGAACAAATACTATGACAGATCCTGATCCTTATTAGTGTCCCGATTTACGATGAGGTCATACCGTATATTTGGCGACCCATGGACACAGACAGCAGAAAGAGACTCAGTACAAGCACTGTCTCCTAAGAAACAATGGAATTGCCTTTTCTAAGACTAGAAAGCAAGTAACTTTAACTATTTGGGTTTCTTAACACTACGGGACATCCTGCCTATTACCATCAATCTTCTCATAGGAAATTGAGCACTGTACCAACCAGAATCGTCCGCCACCAGATCCAGTCTTTGAAAAACCAGGAAATGCTTATCACATCCAGAAAGTTGGCTTACAGTTTTTATAGTATTTCCCATAGTCTCCCACCAAAGGATTTTGATGCAAATGCAGGGCTCAGATGATAGCACAGTCGTCCCCACCTACTGCACTTCAGCTTTCAGAAGTAAACGTCCTTCCTCAGCCCTGAATATCTGACAGAACTCACTTCAGTCTCATCAAAGGGGGTCAAAAGAAAACACATGACTGACTCACATTGGAAGAAAAGAGGAATAATAAGAAAAATATAATCCTTTGAATTCTTCTCCACCTCTTAACAAATGGATCAAGGACAGAGGGAGCTGCAATCACAGGGCATAATGAATAGCAAAATTATAATTAGAGACAAACTATGCCATGTATTTGATACTCTTACTTCAATACTTCAATAATCATCAATTCATAGCGAAACAAAAGTGTCAAAAATATCTACTAGTGCATTTAGACTCTATTGTTTGCAGAAAAAGATGACTGTTATATTTTGTCTTCTATTGCTTAATCTTAGTTATTACAAATGAGAAGCTACTAGAAAAGTGGAAGCTGTCCACTGCTTTGTATATTATTATCTCAAGTTAGGAAAACAGTTTTGAATAATAACTAAGAGAAAAAAGAGTTCCTTCTCACCTTACTTCAAATCAGTCCAACCTCTATTAAATAAAAACACTTTTCCTGAATTAAAAAGTAGCTCAGTAAAGGATCTCATCTTTCTACTGTATAGCTCCTCATTCTTGAAAGGAGAAATAGAGAGAAGAGAGAAAAAGTATTCCAACACTTAAACTTCACTGAGAAGAAAAATTTGTGTGAACATCTTTAAACCATCCCATGAGCCAGTATCCCTTTCTGAAATCACAAAGGCACAGACTGGAGCCAAGCCTCCCTGGTTGCTCCTTCCCCTCAAACTCAGAGGCTGGACACTGCACTTCAAAAGCAAGATGGGAGCAGAGCCTGCTGGGGTAAGGGAAGGCTGCGATGCAGGAGGATGCTGCACACGGTCCAAATTCCAAGTTATGAGAAATAAGCCCATCTGTAACATGAGCAACTGCCAGCGCCTATCACAGAATGGCTTTGTGGAAAATATCACACTAAGTGAGATAATTGTTATTTCCATGTCTTTTCACTGAGAATTCATCCAGATACTTTTGTGGTAAAAACTGTTTCAGGCAGAAACGCATGTGATTTTACCCATTACTTTTGACATAGTCAAAGCTACAGGGATTAAGAATTATTTATGTATTTATTTATTTGTACTATGGCTTTGAGAAAGCATCACTACTTCAGTGAATCCAGTTACTGTCACAAGAACAGTTTGCATGGACAAAATAGTTGCCTTCATTCAAGGATCAGAGAGTTTATGTCCTGGGCAATAAACAATGGCTTAAATTACAAGTGAGTTGATAAGAGCATCTATTTAACATCTCATGAGTTAAATAAAGCAACAAAGAGGCATTATTTAATTAAAATCATTATCAGAGTTGTCCAGTACCGACATGAATTTGCAGCTAAGTTCCTTTTATCTCATTTAGTGCATTCCTAATTGTTCTAACAACACAGGACGTCAGTCCTTTGGTACAATGATTAGAAGGTCATCGGGAAAAGAACAGATATTCAGAATGCTTCTAACAGCCCATGGACAGAGGGATATTCTACCATTGTTAATATATATTTACATTACAGGACAGCCAAAAGGCCTCAGTTATATTCTGCCCTCCATTGTGATGGGCACTGGGGAAACACAAAAGGAAACAGAGTCCAAGTCCCAGAGGGCTTGAAGCGTAAAAAGATGAGTGATGCAGCGAAGGCAATGGGATGAATTCAACAACACAGAATGAGTTTTCACTGTCTGTATCCATTCGTTATCTTTTTAAGCTCCCAGGGGAGAAGAATAATCCCAGTCTACTCCGTTAAATCCACCATGTTCTGTTTGAATATTTCCAATGCTAATCAAAATCTGGTAAGATTTTAATTTTTTTTTTTAGCAGTTTCAATTCAGTTATACTTCCCTGACTTTTTTAAACAAGCACAGAATTGGAAAAAATGAAATGAAATGGAAAGCCACAACAATACAGTACGAGTGAGTACATAATCAGGATAAGAAAAAAAGTGAGGATTTAGTTATTCTGATTTCTGCTCTTGACAGCTGTTGGACATCTATTTCATGCAAAGATAATATCCTCTAATTCCACTTCGGAGTCTATTCCCATCAGTTAAACATTGTCTGAAAGTCCCTATGGAGGTGTTCGTTTAAAGCTAATGCTGGCACAGTTTTTTGCTCTTTTCCTGCCATCTGGTCACATACTGAGTTTTCAGCTATTTTATCAAAACTGGAGAGGAAAATCGAAAGAGTAAACAAAAACATCAATAAAAGAAATCTGAAGGTCCGAAGTAATCACAACAATCAAGTCTAAAATAACAATTTCTTTTCCTTACAGAATTCAGACAAAAGAGACTTAATGCAATAAATCTCAAAAAATTGCAACCTTATTGTAATACTCTGATGCTATTCGGAAACCTACCCAGTCCCTATTAACAGCTATAAACATACTGAGTGCTCATATTACCCCCTTTTCCCACACCCCAATCCCCCAGAGATTAACAGAAAATACACTGATCCTCTTCTTTACATTTAAAGCTTAGAATCCCAGAAGCTGGCATTTAGAATTATTTTACATGCCATTCATTAATACTTTTCATGATAATTTTTTAGAATGTGGATGCCTCAGTCCTACGCTTTCTCTGCATACTGACTTAAACAACAGAATGTGGAAGACATTAAAGGACCCATATGAGAAAACTCGTTACAGTTTCTATATAAATAGACAACAGTCCCACTACAGTAAAATGAAACCAAATTGTCTTAGCAAACCTCTTTTTTCCTCATGGTCTTCTCTCTTCTCTCTGCAACGTTGCTCCATCGTACACACACACTTAGATGTGCCATAAGTGCTCTGTTTACAGTGCATAAAAGCTATCCACAGCTCTTCTAGGAATGAAACTGTTTTAATATTTTCTGATCCATGTTCCTGCCACAAACATTCACCAGCAGTATGATAGCTCCAAGAGCAGACATCTGATTCTTGACATTTAAAGATACAATACTGGTGAAAAATAGTGACGCTGTATTAACTGCAAACAGCTTGTGAGGGAGTAGGTGATGTACTCCTAAAATGTATAATCAGAACAAGCAATCATTTCAACCTTTTGGTTTTGTATTTTTGACTCAAAGCCATGGAAAAGAGGGGTAGCCAGATAAACAAATCTGGACACTTTGCAATAAGTATTTTATGAGAATTTATATTCAGTGGCAAAAAGGAACACAGTTTTTTCCTGATGCAGAAAGTATTAAGGTTCCTCAAAGTTCCTCAAAAGGGTCTCAAAAGCTTTCATAATAAAACAAGCAGTAAATGGAGTCAAATCCTGAAATTACAGAAATCAAAGAATTTGTATCCTGGTAACATTCAGTTAATTGACATTGTAATGCTAACTACAAGCACTACAAGATCACATTCTCTGTACCCCCACTGTGACTGCTTTATAAATGCAAAAAGTACACAAAATGTTCTTATTTTTCCCACATGAAAAAAATTAAGCCTGTACCAACACAAACTGTTTCTTTGAAATGCTGAATGCTGATAAAAATAAAATGAAATAAAAAGGAGAAAGAAAAAGAAAATAATTTATTTTCAGCCATATCACCCCTTGTTTGGTGATCAGATACCTCTCAGGAAAGCTGAAATATCAGAGCTAACCTCCATCCCCCACAAACACCTGTAACATGGCAGAGCACAATTAACAGCAATCAGCTCTCCACACTGTACCTGGAGGTACTGACACGACCGTTCCTGTTGACACGTCTCTGCCTTCACCACTGTCTGATCCATGTTAACTGATGCTTTCTGGTAAACTTCACGGGCTCTGCTCACGGTTAATGTAGAGGACCAAGAGCTTTTCTTCATTAACTGGGAGTCCAAATTCACAGGCAGGTTAGCACAGGTAGAGCATTTGACATCATTATTGCTTCTGGATGACTTCACAGTATGTTCACTAATAGTGTTATAGGCTTCCATAAAGTATTGGGAAGAAGAACGATCAGGGCATCTTCCCATGGTCATTACCCCACTGGGACCATGATAAATGCAAACATCATTGTCCAAGTTGTCATCTGAACTCCACCATCCTGACGCATTGGATCTGGGCTTACCTTCTGATCGCCTTTCTTTACTCTTGCTGCGCTTCCCATACCTCATCGTTTGTGACTCCTCTGGACTCGCTTTACTCCCATTGACGCTTCCCTTGGATGGTCCTTCCAGTGAATGGGACTTGGTAAAGAGCTTTTGGACAGAATGAACCAGGTGCCGGATCCTCCCTGGGCTGTCACTGCGGTGCTCCATGGCAGTCCGCTTGTACTGCAGAGTATGGTAGCCATCCCGATTCAGAGGCAGCTGCCGCTCAAACTGGTCCAAAAGGTTAGCAGGAATGCGGTTAGTCTTGTTGGCAGTTCCATGGGGAACCAGAGCACACTCATCCTTGAGTTCGTGGTGGGAGTTATAGTGTCTCCGAGGGAACGTGCTGCTGGCAATCTGATCATTGTAGGGCACCATGCACTCTGCCTGAAAAGAGTTCCTTTGAGTGTAGTAGGGGTGGTCTGCAGGGTGGGGGTCCACCGGGTTTAACAAATATGGCTTCCTGTCCGAGTGATGTGGCAGGCTGTCACACGGAGGGTCACAGGTAACCCCATGATGATGACTACGGCTGCTAGATAAACCCTTCATCGCTGACGTAATGCAAGTCCCAAAGTCATCTAATATGTATGGCTATGCAGCAGGCAGATCTCAGGGAAAGGCCTAAAAAGAATGAAATACAACAATGTACGTTTAGACTTTACTGTTTTTTAATTACAAAAATAATTGGAACAAATATTCTCTGATTCTTTCTATATCATTTTTTTTTTCCCCATGCCAGTAGTGATATGGGATACCTAAGTAACACATAAGCAAAATGATCTTACTTCACCAGCTAGAAAACAGATGCAAGAACCTTTTCTGATATGAAACTTACCATTGCTCACTAATCCACGGCAAGATAAGTATCACTGTCCATACTCTAAGACCTCAGTCCTGAAAGCATTCATGGACAGGGACCTCCGAAGAGCCCTTAATTGCTCACCTGCTTGTTTTTGCGAACAAATGAATGCATTAAGAGAGATCATCTCCTTAATGGAGTGTTCTGTGTTTACTTCGGGCTAAATACAAAGCAAGGTGCAACTGCTGGGAAATATTCTTCTGGCCCCAGTGCATATCTGTTCAGGTGCAGTTTTATATCCATGTTGCCTGCCTGTGCTGTAAATATTTACAGACAATACCAACTTTTTATTTCAGCAATATCTTTTCAAATTAATTGTAAAATAATTAAACATTTATATGCCTATCAAAATGAAGCCAAACTATCTGTTTACTTTTGGGTTAATTTGTTTTACCTACTGTTTACTTACTCCTATTTGTAAAAATACAATCTTACTCTTACAATGCACAGTTTGAGTGTATTTTCCATAATTTTTCAGAGTGCTAAGCAGTATTTAAATACCACTACACTCTCTACCATCAGGAGAATTAGTATAGACAACATGCGTACATTGCTTTAACAGTTTAAGGGATTTCAACACTCAATACCCACTTTCAGTTGTTTGTCCCACAGTGTTACAGACTACTGATTACAAGGTGAAAACGCAAATCTTCATCACAAGTGATATAATGACGACTCGGTTTGAAGTCAGATGTCCTCATTCCAGCTCAACCACTAGCAAAAGGCTGTACACAACTGCTACTGAAATGTCTGAGCTATTAATGTATAAATTACAGGGTTTCAGATGTGGCAAAACATCCTTGTGGTGCTATCTCATCTCCTCACGGGCCTATTGAAGACTTTAGAGGATACCCTATTACATTACACACAACTGGAATGTGAGTCACTCAGCTGTTTTATTCCTTTCCAGCATGGCTAATCAAGTCATACATCCAGAAACGTCACTCTTAAGATCTTTCCTGGAGTATGGATACATGGAGCATAGCAAACAGTTTTCACCTTGTTCCTTCAGTGTTCTTTCAGATAAACTTCATTATTTAACAGATCGTATGCATTGTACCTACTGGCAAATTACCAACTATTAAGTTTTCTAGAATAGTTTCAGTTGATAGCAGTCTGAAAAAGCATATTCTGCATTTCATCAGAACATTTTAAAATGTTCTCCTGAAACTGTAGTGAGATTTTTCAACATGTTTCAAAGCTACAGTGTCCTTCATTTCACTCTTCCTCACTGTATTCCTGCAATGCAGAAAATTTTCATTCTCAGGAGATCCTGAATTCCAAAATCCAGCTTTTAAAATACCACAAAAAGGCACTTCAAATACTCCAAATGGATGAGTTCACTGGCTTACTTGAAGAGAACTGTGGTCTAAGGCTCTTTTAAAGGAACAAAAATAATTTATGCAGAGAGCTGACCTTGTCAGTTTGACTATACTGACAGACTCAGTTCTAAAGAACATTTTATATCCTTACCAACTTCCTTAAAAATGTAATCTATTAGACTGTGTAACAGAGAACATCCAAAGAGATGTAGTAGCAGATCCATTGCTTGAACCATTAAAAATGTGAATTGACCAAGAATATCCCATTAAAAAAATACCAGCAATGGATACAAAGACCAAGTAGAAATAGACAAATCTGTGAATAACAGAGAGAAAGAGATGGGCTTTCCATAAATCGTGGAGGAAGATACAACAAGCTTGGCTAAGCAGTGCTGTGTGAGCTTGGATGGCATGTAGGATGGTGGAAAAGTTTAAGAGAAAAGATAAAATTCAATTCTATGCTCATTTTGAGTCTCGGCTGTCAATAAATAACAAAGTGCTGGAGAAATAAGGAAAAAATAGATAAAATGATCTGCCCAAAAGGAATCAAGGGAACAGATAGGGAAAAACAAAGGAAGTATGCTTAGAAAGGAAAAGATCACAAGGTTACAATAAAAAAAAAAGGGGGAAGATAAAGCTTTCCAGGAATAGCAGATTGAAAAATGAAGGAAAAAAAGGGATGTTGCCTGAGCCACAGAGTGATGGACAAACCAAATCAAAAAAGAAACAGGAGCCACCTATCTGTGTAAGAAGGGGTGATAATAAAATTTCTAAAAAGTGGGAGAAATTGTAATTCAGAGTAAAAACTATTCATTCCCAACTCTTAGACATAGATAATATGCATTATAAGAGCCTTTCTGCCGCAATCGCAGTAGAAACATTTACAGGGACAGACCCTGAATTTTTTTTTTTTTAAATCATGTACAATTGTGATTAAAGACCATAGGAACTACCTATTTCTTGTCCAAACTAGGAACATTAAATTACTCATGAAATTCGACAAGATAATTGATGAACATATTGCATATTAATAAACAGTGAAATAGCAGTTTTAAGACAGCAAACCAGAAACACCTATTGACATGGAATAAAGAAAAATTTATGCAGAAATGTAAGGTTGAAGAATGCTTATTATTTCCATCAATCACATTATATTTGCTTCTGTTTTCATGAGGATGTCTCAAGTAAGAAGTAAAAAAATATATTAATCTTTGCTGTGATTACAGTGTCCCTAACACACAATAACTCATTGAATAGTGGTAGAATAAGGGAGAATGGTTTTAAACTGAGACAGGTGAGATTTAGGTTAGGTATTAGGAGGAAGTTTTTTACTCAGAGGGTGGTGACACACTGAAACAGGTTGTCCAGAGAGGTTGTGGATGCCTCATCCCTGGAGGCATTCAAGGCCAGGCTGGATGTAGCTCTGGGCAGCCTGGTCTGGTGGTTAGTGGCCCTGCACATAGCAGGGGGGTTGAAACTAGGTGATCATTGTGGTCCTTTTCAATCTAGGCCATTCTATGATTCTATGAATTGCAGTGATATGTAAGTCAGTTTATGCAGCTTTGTAGCTTAAATAGAAAACATGCACGTGATATATAGCAATACCTGAAAAGTGATTAACATAACTACTTTATGTGCAACATGCCAACAGAAATGCCCTAATTAATGCCATTAGGATAACAGCATCTTAACCTGTGCCTGTTCAGAAACTAAGGAGATTTTTATTCAGTGAATGCAGTTCTTGTAAGACATCATTCAATGAGTTAGATGGAGCTTCTGAATCCTCAGCTTTGTACCAACTCCAGAAAATGAAGGGCTGATACACAGTAGAAAGGCGCTCAGCATACAACGTCCTGTATGTACGGCTCTGAGTTGAGGAATGCATTTAATCACATGCAGAAATTGAAATCTACATTTAGACCTTTAACTCAGATCACAGCAGACTCTCCAAAAAAATGCTGGGTTACTGTTTGAAGTGGGAGGATGTGAAATACCCTTTTTAGCAATACTATTTGTAGAGTTGCTCCCATTTTATGAACTATAGCAAACAAAGAGATTCTCATTTCCGTATTTCCATGAGCAGCAAATTTTCCTCAGCATTTGATTTATTTTCTTGCACGCTATGAGATGTTCCCAGGGAAATTCCTTTCCCATCTTCTCAGACTGTTACACACACTGGGAACATATGCTTATGCTGAGCGCCAGTCTTCCACGTGCTCCTCACTTAGCAGTACATCACTTTATCCCAAAGGTCTTGATATTTTGCAGCCATTCTGTGTGGCTTTTCTGTTAAATTACATCACAGTAATGAAAATCTAGATACCAATAAAAGGATGCATCTTCTAAAATGCATCCATATACATTTACATATACAGATCAGGAAGTGGGAGTAAAAATGTAACTAAACTCTAGCTAATCTGAGAAGTCCCATTGGAAAGGCATGCACACACAAAAAACAAGAGATGTCCCCTTTCCCCTGAACTGGATTTAATGAGAACAGATGCTTCTATTTTATTTTCATGTCTGTATCCAAACACCCTTTTGCTTGCGTATACTTATGGTGAAAAGTTTCACATTTACATTTGATTATTCTTTTCATCCATGTGCTTTTGGTGAACAGCTGTGGCAATCAATAACATGGTGTTACTTGCGTGGAAGGTCTAGGCTTGGGTTTCTTTTCTTCATCTCTGTGGCTAATAGTAAGTTGATTCTTCACTGGGAGTGTTACAAAAGCTGTAGTCATTAAAGGAACCTAGCATGTAATTAATCTGAGTCATTTCTAAATACATCATATTGCTGCTGAAATTCTTGCAGAACTTATGTCAGTATTTTGACACACACACTTTCTCCAACCCCCCTCCCTCCGTTCCCTTATAAGTGTGACTGGCAATAGGCAGGATTGCATACAAAAATCTTGGCTCTACAAATAGAAATCCTTAACTGTGATCATCTGCACTTCCACTCTCTTGATTTGCACACACAGTACTTAGCTTCTTAGAAATTCTGTTATGCTCCAGTGAGTACTGATATAGTGTATAATTAGACTGCTCATGCATTTTCCGCATTACAGAACACAGAGCCACTCTGACACAGAAAGGTACAGCACATCACTTGGAAAACTTGTGGAGAATTTGGAACTGCTAATCAATATTTTCTTCTCTCAGAAAGAAAGTTATCAGGAGGTTGTCTGTATGACATGCATGCAAGAGAATATACTAAACCGAATCATTCAATAAGTAGTATACAGGCAGCATTGAAGAGTATACCACAAATACATTTAGAAGTTGCACTTTATCCTTTTTATTCTGTAGGCTGATGAAATTTATGACCTTAATCCCTATGGAGATTTCAGGTGTATAGATCCCTGTAAGACGGTCTTATAAATATTGAAGACTCAGTTCTACTAGTTGGAATGGAATACTCAGCGGATAAAACCTATA